ACCCTAAATACTAATAGCTTCCTAATAGTTCATTTCCACCTATCCATTTGTTGTAGCTGAACCAGGATGTTATATGATAACAAATGAGAGAGGGAAGGTAAGAACATACTTAAGAGAATTTCAGAAATGAAATGTAGTTCATGTTCTGAAGGAATGACAACTGCTCTAATTCGTATCACTTACTTGGTTCAGGAACTGAATAGAAAATACATGTTACTGTATTTCAGATGCAGCTTCAAACTTAGGATAATACCGTGTAGAGAAAGTATGAATTTTCTTATTGATGTGCACAGATTAAAAAGTAGCTCTAAGAACTACCAGCTGAAATTGAGGTCGATGGGCTCTTGTTCTTCTCTCAGCTTCCCTAGAGAGAAGTGAAGTCCTGATGAGAAAGAACACTTCAGTGAAAGGGGAATAACTTCCTTGTGTACAGTGCCTACATGCGTTGTGCATTGTTTTGTCTATATTGGTCACAAATACAAATGGAAAGCCCTGATCCTGCATTCAGGTGCCTGGTGGCAGATACCTTTTCTTTTACAGTGAGGTTATCAAAAGTTAGAGGGAATCATTCGGATAAGTCAAATTGCACATTTAATGCCAAGATAGGGAATAATTATCTGAAACATATCCCAGCTCAATTGCTCCACCTTTTGCAGTCTTTGATCTTATCGAAGTGATGGGTTTACCAATAAGATAAATTGGAGAACATATACTTGCATGCCAAACATCACTGTGTAAATCTTGGAGAAGTAAACTTTCTCCGACACTGATGCTGCTGTATTTCCAGGTGCATTTATGCGTTTATTATTAAACTGTTAAATAAAACAGCATACCAGTAGATACCACTAAAATGCTTCCAGAGGAGGCATTTGCTTTGATTTTAGTGAGATGCTTAGATTGACTTCAATACTACTTGTAGAAAGTAAGCTGCTGGTTGTTTTTTCTTCCCCTGAATATATGATGATGCTTTTCCTATTCTGTGGCACTGTCTGCACAAACCAGGCTGCCTTCTGGGAGAAATGTATTTTCCTATTTTGGATGGAGGCATACTAGTAGGATATATTGCAATTGTTTTGGCGTGGGCTGCTCACATTCTTAACTACAGTGGCTGAAAAAGAGAGACTAGCTCTTCTACCCCTCTTTTCTGATCCCAAGCTAAAGTTTTAGCTAAACCAGCATGATAGTTGTCTTTTGTCCTCTCCAGTTAACTGCCTGTGATATCCTTGTATGTCTTGTGGTGTCTTTGTTAAGATAGCAAAAATATAGCTTAGAGGGAGGAAAGCAAAAGACAAACAGTCTTAATAGTTTTATATTCATCTGACCATGGAAAAATTCTCGGCTGCAAGCACAGAAAGGTAGAAATGGCCTCACTGGATCAGAACAGCAGTTAATCTAGCTCGGTGTCCAACTTCCAACAGTGTCAGTATCTTGTGCCTTTGAGACAAAAATGTTTGGAAGGCAATTATGAAATGGCCTTCACATAACTTTACACCCAGCCACCCTGTAAGAATTCTTTTTATAGTATTTTGTGACTTCTACTTCTCAAAGTGAAATTTTATTTGTAGGCAAACATGTTTATATAAATATAAGTACCTGTTAGGATGAAAGATGTTGTAATGAGGACAAGTCCTGCAAATCTACAATATACTACTAGAAAACCAGATTTTTAAAAATTTTTTAAATTTCAGTAGATAGAGGCATTAGTAATCTCTAAGTCTTAATAACTATTTCTTCTTTGAAAAAAAGCAAGTATGTATTGGTAAGGTTCTATAGAATACTATTGGATGATCTATACAAGAAAATAATGATAAACCAAACAGTAATATTTATTTAAAAATCCATAATCACTTAGTAAAAAGGGTGAGCTGATAATTTAAATACTTGGCTGCGATTCAGGAGTTACTTCAGTTCTTTGCCCTGCTATGGACCTTCTCTTTGACCATGAGCAATTCTAGTAAGTTTCAGTGCCTCATTTGTACACTGAGAAAAAGAAATTCTCTCTCCATGAGAATATGGCAGAACAAGTCAACTACAGTGTTCAGTTAACTTCAGTACTGAAAGAGAAGAGTTGAAGGATCATATGATCTCCCGGGATGCCTAATATTCCTTATGTCATCAGGTCTTCATTACAGCTTAAGTGATGTCTGTCTTCAGCATTTCAATGGATCAGAGAGTAGCTATTCAAGAGAGAGAAAGTCTAGGTCTGTCATCCTCTAAGGAGAGGGTAGATGGAAGGTGCACAAGCTCCACCAAGTTTCTTTAGGCTCTCTCTAGGATCCTCACACACAAAAGCCTGGCTTGCAAATAAATTTTACATTTTGTTACTCAAACTCTTAACAATTCTTTGTTATTTCATTAACTCTGTCTTTTTAAGACCCTATCATGTAGCATATTTTTATGAGAAGGAAATGTTTAATTATTATATACTGTCATTTAATAATAATATACTGTGTAATTGGGAAGACAGTATATTGCATAAATAAAACTTGTTTAAGATAGATGTCCAATATTTAATAAGATCTGTGGGAGCTGCACTGTTCTTGGAAGTCATTGACTAAGGCCCTTCTACCAAAAGCCATTCCAGGTGGGGTCTAAAAGGGCTGTAGACAAAAATTAAATGAATAAAAACATTGCATCTCTCCCAGGTAGTTCAAAGCTGCTATCCACTACTGTCAGTTCTCTAAGCAGTCTGTGTAGCCAGAGATTCAAACCACTCACAGTATTTTGAGCCGAATTCTTTCATGTTGTGAAGGTATCAGCTTCACTGAGCCTTCCCCCAGGGGTGTATTTTACTCAAAAGTAAGATGAATTCTGCGTTTAGTTTTAGCAAAAAAACCCCCAACATTTGATAGTAAAGGCTGGAAATTCAGCAGTCTGTTCCACAAAATACAGGTGTTGCCAACAAGAGACTCATCTGATCATGAGCCTTTCTCACTGTTAGCCAAATGGGAATTAACTCCTGTTGACTGGGAAGAGGAGTAGTTTGTGGAAGCAAAACCATGAAGAAATACTGTGTACCTTTGAACCCAGCTTTCCATTTTACTCTCCGCTTTTCTTTTGCTTTATTCTGTGGAAGTATGTTTACTATACTTCTCTCCCTCTTTTTAACCACCACAATTCCCCCCTGCCATTGTCATTCAGTGTTATCCTATGCTTGTACTCCCAGAGAAAAGTTTTTTGTGAAATTCTGACTTCAAAGTCAAGTGACCTTTTCTTTTGCATTCTTCAGTATAGCCACAGCTAGTGGGGCGGAAATGTTTGGATCAGATTAATAGTAATGCTGTTACTAATTAATAGTAACACTGCATCTGCCTGACCCTCAATTGCCTGCCTCTTGGTCTTGACTGTAATTTCTCATAGCATATTTAGTAATGCTGGAATTAAACAAGGCTTCATTCTTTTTCAGGCTGTGACGGTGTTTTAACACTGTTGCATGATTATGGCGCTTGGTGCACTAACACTTCCTCCTCACACCTGCACAGTTTCTAATCCATCCTCCTCTGCTTTGTTTCACCCTGGCTTTCCTGTACCTGGTGTTCAAGTGAACTCGTGGCTTGGTTACCTTAAAGATGGTGTTTGGTTTCTCATTGCTTTAGAGTGGTGCACCAATTGATCTTCTTGGCGTATTTACTTTCAGGATAGGTTCTTCCATTCTGACCATAATAACATTCTTAGTCAGCCACATCTGAGGGTTATTACAAATCTGCTTCTGTGATTGAAACTCTGGCTTTAAGTCATATGTTTTAGGGGTTACATTTGAGTTAGGGGTTTTAAAAATTAGTAGAGAACACCTATGCCCAAACCTTTGCTGATAAAAACTAGACTGTTTTTTTATAACTTTATGGGAGCTAAGCCAAGGCAATAGTATGTGACTGTACCTAAATATGTACATGTCCATACATAAACATAGAAATGTGTTATATATTACTAATAATGTGGAAAATATTAAGAATAGCTTTCCAAAGTTAATGTAAGACAATAATTTGAGCCCAACAAATCCGTATAAATAAATGCATGTCCTAATTTACCCAACTGAACCTTCCTTCTGAAAAGCCTTTTGAAAAATAGGGATACATTTGCTTTGTATTTTGTGATCCTAGATCCCAGTTTCAAATGTTCGTATTTCACATATTTCAACTTTAAACATCCTGAAATTCCAGCACAATCTTTTAAATGGGAAAGGATGCAACCACCCACTAAATTGCTAAATATTGAAACCATCTCAATTACTAAACTGGATTTCACATTCATAAAGACTAAAATCCTTTAGCCTTAGACTCCTATGTCTTAACTTCTTACAGATACACAATTGTTTGCACTTAAACTGGTTAGTTATTTTTGTAAGCTTGTATGTGTGTTTACAGAACAAGAACCTAATTATCACTGAAACTGGGGCTGACTTACTCTTCACCTCAATGAAGGAATCATTTCACTTGTTTCTAATCTGACTTAGATTGAGAAAACTAGTACTTAATTGGGTAAGGTGGAGAATGTTTAAGTGATGCCAAACATATATAATGCCTCTTGTATGAGCCTTTGCTAACCATTTAACTGCTTATCACTTCAAAATGATAAGCCCAAATCTGATTATTTTTACCACTTGCAGTGGGCGTCAAACTACATTCTGCTGAAATATTCTTGACATTTTCTTTTAAGGAGGAACTTACTAAAGTCACAGCTATGCCTGAAATTATATACATACACACATAAAATGTCTAATTTGTAACTGTTAATTTTCCTTCCTTTTACTTTAATACTGAAACAAAGTTGTTTGCAACTGAGAAGCAGCATACAGTAAACTTGCATACTTGGTGGGTTTCACTTGGAGAGCTGAAGAGGTTTCTTATGAGCAACCACTCTAGGATGCTTTTTGCAACCAAACATTTCTCCTCAACCCATCTTCTTTCTCCCCAGGTTTTGTTTTTATTGGTGGTTTGGTTTTTTTGCCACCACTGGCAATAGCATTTACTTTATTCATACTGTATCCCCTCCTTTCACAGAGACAAGGAAAATGTTGCTGCAGCATCAGAAAACAGGTAACTTTTGATATGTGTGTTTAGCTTACCTGCTATTTGGAGTTTACCTCTGCTTTCTAAATAATGTTCTTACCTCAAAAACATGGAGTTTGTACACTGTTTGAGCAGATGATGGATATCGAGGTTTCAACTAAGTGTGTTTGTTAGGCATTTTTTTCCTACAAAAAGCTCTGTGAGATGGAGCAGGTGGGGATCATGTTTCTCAGAACTTACAAACCTAAAAAAAATAAGAAGCTTTTATCAAATGTTCTTGAAATATTGTCAGTTTGTGATGGAGTTTTAAGAAGAATTTTCATTTTAAACTTTGTCTAGATTGTTCAAGGTGTTTTTTAAAACATAAATAAGATTATCCTTTTGGTATATTAAGAACATTTATATATCAGATTCTTGCATATCTGGATTGATCCTCAGTGGCTCATGGGGTTCAAAACATAATATCTCTCTAAGTAAGTTCTTCCATTTCAAAGTTGCTTTCTCCCAAAGAATATCAGCACATTTTGCAGTTACATATAGAAATGTATTTATTTTTATTAGTTCATATACTAAAACACACAAGTACTGAAACACAGATACTTTCTGAGTGATCTAACCAATTGCTTAATGGAGCAAAGAAGTGCCTCTTTCTAGTTTGTCATGGAAAGAATTTTATAGCATCTTTCCTGCCTTGTTTATTCTCACCTTTTTATTTTGGGTTTTTTTGTAAGACAACTCAGATTTGAACAAAGATTGCATACAGTTAAATCCAAGTGCAAGTGTTAACATTACTTATGACAAGCAATGGCAACTGGCACTTGGAACAGTAGGGAAAATTTAGTTTTATTTTTAAATTATGTCGAAAGAATGAAATAAACCCCTTGATTCCTGCATAACACCTGAATATAAATTAAATTGAAAAACAACTAACATGTTGTTAGTTCAATTCCATCAGCAATTTTATTTGTGCAAAATCACCTACAGGACTATGCAGCTGCTTAACTAAAATATTATTTTCTTTTTCTTCATCAGGAACAATTTCTGATGTATGACTGATGTTCACGTCATACTACAATGTCTTAATCTAGCGTGGTTTGTCATGCCATAGCTTTTCTCCACCACAATTATCATCATAGCTCTGCTATGCATTTTATTTTGATATTCCTACCAATACGGTTTCCAGATTTTACACGAGGTACTTTTTGGTTCTTAAAGCCTTTCATAGAATCATCATAAAATGGTTTGGGTTGGAAGGAACCTTAAATATCACCGAGTTCCAACCCCCCTGCCATGGGCCAGGACACCTTGCACTAGACCAGGTTGCTCAAAGCCCCATCCAACCTGGACTTGTGGCTGCCCCATCTTTGGCAGTGTTCAACTTCTCTGGGCAACCTGTGCCAGCACCTCACCACCCCTCAGAGTGAAGAACTTCTTCCTAATATCTAATCTAAACCTCCCCTCCTTCAGTTTAAAGTCATTCCTCGTTGTCCTGTCACTACAGGCTCTTGTAATAAGTCTTTCTCCAGCTTTTTTCTAGGCTCCCTTTAGGTACTGGAAGCTGTTCTAAGGTCTCCCTGGAGCCTTCTCTTCCCCAGGCTGAACAAGCCCAACTTTCTCAGCCTGTCTTCAGAGAAGTGCTCCAGCCCTCTGAGCATCTCCATAGCCTTCCTCTGGACTTGCTCCAACATGCCTATGTCCTTCTTATGTTGGGGGCCCCAACTGTCAACATTTGTCATGACTTTGTCATGATGATCTCCTATGGTAATAAGGAATTTTGGGGATACAAAAAGAGGATATTGGATATTTAAGATATAAATCTTCTTCCAGGAAACAGAAAACTGAGAAATAGAGTCTTCATTATTAAACCTAGACTTAACTTTTCAATTATGAGGTTCAGCACTTTTGTTTTTATTTGTTTTTCTGAAGGCTTTGCTCCATATAAATAACTGCTGTTTCAAAGAGCCAGACATTAGCATTCTAAAATGATGCTGTATTTGGTATGGTAGACAGTAAGCATGTGTATCTCTGAAAAATAAAAATAATCAAACAAACCTTTCTCTATTAAATCACCAGTCTCTTCTGTGGCTGGAATTCTGTCTCTCCCTCAAATACCTGCTATTACCTAAGAAATACTTCATTTACAAATCCCCTTGTAATCTTTGTTACTCAGGCCTACAGGTACTGCACATGCGCCACAGTATGTGACCTCAAGTATTTGGCATCCTCCTAAATCATGCACCATGGATGCCAAAACTGACAATGCTAAGCCAGTGGCCTCCAAGGGGTCTGTGAGGCTTGGAGCGGGTACAAGCCAGAGGGAGGTCAGTTTCACTGCTACTGGCCAGAAAGTCCCTCTTACTTCATCCAGTCATCAAAGGTACACTGTGATGTGTAACTGCATAACTGACCTGGTTTGGAGCTTTGGAGTGGTTTGGTAATAACAGCCTCTAACTCCTTCAGATGGAAGTGTCCATTGCCTAAAAGGCAGATGATGAAGTTCTACAAATTCCGTCAACTTCTAGTTCATGTGGGCTTTAAGTGGCACTGCTAAAGATTGCACCTACCATATAGAGACAACAGTCATTAAGCACCTTCTGCAGAGAAATAGCAGCTGATGAAGTTTATTGTATTTCTACAGACATCCCTGTACTCATACGCAAAGGTCTTCCATGCTATGTCTTTCTCTAAACACAGTTTATTCTACAAATGCCACAATAAGCAATAATTTTTGCCTATTCATTTTTATTTTTGCTCACTATATTTTGAATTCTTTACAAGAGATCTGTTGGAGTATTCAAAATAACTTTATGAATTACATAAAGGAGACAAGGTACTGCTTTAATAATCCACTTGATCGTTACTTGCACAGAAAGTCTCAGAATTTAAGACTTTATTGAAGGGAAGAAGTTAATCTGCACTCATTTTTTTAAAAACGCTTGAGTGCATTTGTTGCTGTGGTTTCTCATTATGATTGTTAACCGTTATTATTCACTTAACCGCTACTGATCTGTGTTCCTTTTCTTGAGTGAAAATCAGCTGAGGAGAGAGATGTTTGTTTTCATCCACCTAACTTACTCACATTGTGCACTTTATGTTTATCTGTTACCACAAATATGGAGATGTTTGAGAAGATCCATTTCCTTTTGCTTTCCTTAAAATACAAAAACCTATAAAGATTGAAAGTGTACAGAATAATTAAGAAAAAGACACAAACTTCTGTAACATATGTAAAAATGAGGCTATTACAATAAATGAACTATTTTATAAAATAGCATTTACATTTATCAGTTCCTAAATCCTTCTGCACGTGAAGGGCTAAAAAAACCCCAGACTGAAAATCTAAAATGGGGGCAAGCTAAGGGAATAAAAAGTTATGTTATTTTCTTTGAACACCTAAATAAAATTATTTAAAATATATAGTGGTTAAACTAAAACCAGTCAAGTTAGTCTCAGTCTTTCTATAAAATTGAGTAGAGAACTAGTTACTAACTGCAAATAATTTCTATAACCAGATCACTCTGATTTTTATGGTTACAACTACTTCATTTATACTTATTGCAATTCCTTGCTCTGTTAATGAATATATTATACCCCACAGGAAGGTGATCAATAAAAGAACCATCACAAACAGCATGCAAGATAAAATCTGTTGTATTTCCTTTAAATTTTATAAGGTATTCCAGTATTAGTTGCATTTATTTCATCTATATGTGTTTGTCTAGTTCAAATCTGTTTCACACAGGTTCATGTCCACGTACTGTATAGTGTGTGTTTTGCTTAACATTTTGGAGATGGTTACAATGATTAAGTAACTTTACTGTTTTCTTCTGTTCAAGGTATGAAGTCTTTATTCTTTTGAAATCTGTAGCAAATTCCCTTTTACTTCAGTGAAAATAAACACAAAATATGTGAACTCCTACTTTATATTTGTTCTTAGGACATATATTAAGGTCCTTTTTAATGTGCAGTATAGTTTCAGTTGTTTCCTGTTTGTCAAATCAAAGATATGTAAGTACTAAATTCTAACTCAACACCCTTTTAATGTATTAAAACTTGGTCACAGGCTTGCCTGTGATCCATAGCTGTGATGTATAATATACAGCTATGCTGCTATGTAGTCTATGCAATTGATACTGTATTAGCTAAGCAGAAGAATTTGCATCATAATGCTGGTGCATCAAGGTGGAAGAACTGATCTGAATTTCAGATGCATATCATGATGGGCAAACTTTTGCAAAACTGTTGCAAAACTTTTGGTGTAATGATTTGAAAAGCAGAATTGGGAACAGGATGTGTATTTATAGGAGCTCACTTGTTATGTATATAATAGAAGATGAAACTCATAAGGAAGAAAATAACTTCTGCTTTTGTCACAAGTTGCATTCAGCTTTGAAATTGGTAGGCATAACAACCATGCTTCCATTTCAGCTAATCAAACTGTAAAATACTCAGTTGAAATAAGACTATCATTTAGACTATTAAACCGTACAAGAAAGTGGAGGAAAGGAGAACAGGAGAAATGGGACAGTCCCGTGAAGAACAAGGGTGTCACAAATTCTGAATTACCAAGCAGTCATTCTAGGTCCTGAGGAATATAACTTCTTGAATCCATGCTTCTGAGAGAAGCCAAAGAAAACATTAGATAGAATGGCTGAAAGACAGAGGAAGTACTTGCACAATGACAAATTCACATAGGAAAAAAGCTGAGAGGAAAAATGTTTGAGAGGTAGGGTTTGGCTGAAAACCAGTCGTGGAACTCTAAGCTTTCTTCTGTTATTTGATACTGTGCTCAGAAAGGACTATTTTGGGTATTCTTTGTACACAGCACAAGAGAATTGCTGAATTTCATCACCATCAATGATCACAAAGGAGTCACTTGTAAGAACTCGGAGATGTGGCAATATACTTACAAGTCTGAGCAAAAGAAGTAAAAATACATCCATTATGTTCTTATACCACAGCTTGTGGACAAGACAACTATGTTATGTACAGTAATGCCCTGGTTATAGGGGGAAAAAAAAAGATTGTGATAACTACTGCGGAAGATTACAGCACAATAATATGGCATCAAGAAAAACATCCCTTGTGCCTGGGGGGCACATGCTTACATTGCCTCTGAGGTCTGTGCCCCCAAATAGTATGCAATAATCTGGAAAATCAAATTGCAATTAGCTATTTTTCTGCGGCTTATTTGTTCTATGGATAATAATTTAAAAAATCCACAGTAAAAGCTGCCTAAACGTAAAATAAAGCTTTTGTCTTTTGTTTCTTTTTTTTATCTTTCCCATTCCCCTTTTAATTTTAAATGACCTAGTGATTTTTACTAGGTATATTGGCAAGTGAAAAATGAAGGCACATATTATTGTTCTTTTGTTGATATTAATTTTATTGAAATGGTCAGCAAAGAACTTGATTCTTGTAAGTCCACTTAATGGTTTTTATTTTTATTTTTTTAATTTGATGTAAGAGCTAGTGGAAGACAGTAAACTGAATCTCCCAAAAGATTGGTTCATTTCTTAGTAGTGGATGGCTTTGACTAAACTATCTTGCAAAACTCTAATGGATAACTTTGCCCCCTTTGTCTGTCTGTAAGAGATGATTAATACTTTCTAATTTGAGTGAGGCTCTAAGGCTGAAATATGTCAATAAGCACTGGGTGCTCTGATAGCAGGTGACGAAAGACACTGGTAGTTCAGTAGGTTACTAGAATAACCACAGAATTTTTATTATTAATTTCAATTAATCTATTTTGCAATCAAATAGAGGGAAATAATTAGACATCAGTATTTCTCTACTCCATGTTATCTGTGCCACAATAACACAGGAGCACCACAAGGATAAAACTCATGCTCATCACCCAAGTGATTTTAAAACTGGTGTAGTAAAATATTATTCCACATCTTACATTTGCATAGTCTTCTGTGTATAAAAAAGCATCTTATTGTTTGATGGGTTGTCCAGTGTAATGTAAGGTGAATCTAGGTCAGAGGTTGACTAAAGACTAAACATCTTCCTGCTACCTTTATTGCACAAAGCTGACTGAACCCAACACAAGACTGTGCTGACTGGATTCCTAGACTACCAGAACTTGCAGGAAACATGCTGATATAAGACTGTGATAATACCCTTTAAATTGCTTTTCTTCACCTAATTAAAAAGTTTACTCCTAACATAAGCTTCAGCTCCAGGAGTAAATACTGGATGAAGTTTACCTGAGCTCAGAATTTGTGACAGGCTCTTTGCAACCATTTAAGTATGCATGCCATGTTTCCTGCCACTGGCTTCAGCAGAAGCAGGACTTAAGTACTGAGTAACACCTGGGATAAATTTCAGTCCAGCAGCACCAAAACTGCATTAGTCTTAACTGCACATCTGAGAAGGCCTAACAGATGTCTTATTTTTTTCTTTTTTTGCATAGTTGTGCTTTCCCCTCAGTAACACAGCCTGCTACTATGTTTGCAGGTTCAAACATAGTAGCTCTACATTTAAATATGCACCTTTTAAGATGCTTCTTGTTTTATTTAATTTAACTCTAATTAGTACCCCTGTTGAGCATGCTCCGGTGTCTACCAGTTCCGCCTCTGCTCCTGCACCACATGCTTCAGCCCATCAGCCTGCTGCTGCTGCTCAAAATACAGCCTGTCTGATGCCACCAGCAGCCACCTCAGTAGTGCAAGAGTCTTTCTCATCCTCCTTCCAAAGGTAATGCTTCATTGCTTTGTCCTTTTGCAAATACATCCCTGTATGGCTCTGGAAATGGTGCATACACATTCTTAACTTAAGAATGTAGTATGTAAAAGCTATAATCTATTTTGTGTGCTTTTATATATTTTAGTGTGTTTTCTTATTTTGAAGCACGTTGTTCATTTTACAGAAACTTTGCAAAATAAAACTTCCCTAAAAATGTAGCTTTAAGTCTGCAATACAGCTTACATTCTCAGAAAGCAAGGCAAGGGTTAAAGCTAGAACTGTTTTTTCACCACTTGTAATAAAATTAAAACAGTTCCTCATAATAGTTACAGTGAATGAGGGTTCTTTTAATAGTGTTTCTGCAGTATGGCATGAAAAGCAAAATTAGAAAATGTTATTTACTCCTGGGATTCAGCTTACCATATCATAGCAGAAGTCAGTAAAACACGGTGGATAATGAGCAATACGTCAGTAAAGCCACACACTTGATGTTTGACTTGCTCTGTAAGGTATTAAGTAATTTGTTAGATTTCTCTGTTCTCTTTTCTCTAATGAGATGTAGCCCAAGAGCTAAAGTGAGTTCCAAAGAGGTGTGTATTCAGAACACTTATAGTGCGGGTGTTAGAGTTGTATATTAAAAGCTGTCAAGGCAGTCTGTGCAGAAATGCATGGGGTTTATACTGCTGTCACTTGCGTTACAGTAATTTTGGAGATAGTAAGAGTGAATTCCCCCTCCCCCCCCTTTATTTTTCCGCATGAACATTCCCAAAAGATGTCACATGCTTTAAAAATCCAAGGAAAAACACAAGTAGAATTGTAAACTACTTTAAATAATTGAGATGTGAGGTGCAGTCTGTCATAGCTTCAATTTGTGTGAATGGGATTGGAAATGTTCTCTCAGCTCTAGTTCTTGTTTAATGTTTCCAGTTGACTGAAATTATTTACGTATACAAACTAGTTTCTCACTTTAGTCAGTTTTACCAAACTGTGACCTACCAGACTCCAGTGTTTTTATTTCAGTGCAAGAAAAGCAATCATCCAGCCAGCAAACGAGGTTTGAATAAGGTATTATTCTGTACTTTAGACTGCACTGTAAGGCACTTTTATGTGAACTAATGATATGGTTTAAATAATTTTTAGCCCTCAGTTGAAACTGTAACATGAAGAAAATGGATTGTCTAATATGCTCTTCAAAAGTAAATGCCTAAACTAATCATGCTGATGACTTGGTGTTTTAAATAGGAGAATTGTTTGTCTACTACTACTTTCATGTTAAAAAGTCTAGCTTAAATTCAGGCTCAAACATCTTCAGATCTTGCAGATCAAAACATGTATCATTGACAGAAGTTGTGTCCTGAAGTACTGTCTTTCTGAGTAATCAATAGACTCTGGTTTTAAGATTTTTACATGACATGCATTTTGTCTTGTGCTCTGTAGGAATGTGCTTGATTGTGCTATTCTGTAAGTCTGCGGATGTATGCTACAGAAAACCTGTTCCTGGTAACTATGCAGCAGTCCTCCTGTATCTGAACTCCAACAAAGCTTCATTCTGATGTCACTGTCTTTGCCCCTCTGAAATTATTTTGTACATACTTTCATGCTTTTACTGTGTCTTCTGCAGAGTGCCTGTAGCTCCCAGCTCTCTCTCACAGCCTAAGCCTTATCACGGGTCCAAGAACATGTCAGTAGCAGCTTCCACTGTTTCATCTGCTATCTCATCTCAGGCTAGGTATATCTGTAAAGCTCTCTTCTTTTAATTTGTTTTTATTCTGTATTACTCTCTGTGATTTAAGGTTTTCACCTTCTTAAGAGACTGGCTTTGGCAGGGACCGCTGAAAAGCATGACATGTTTAAAGGAACAGCCTTCTTGCTTATCTTTCACATTAAAACTGAGCTAGGAAACACCTAAGCTCTAGATTTAAGATATGTGACCAAAATAGCCTTTTGGAACAAAGGTGTTTAATTTGGTTGGTTTATGCTGGTTTTGCCATTCTAAGATGAAAATATTTGTCTAGTGACACTGGTGAGAATGACAGACTTTTTTTTTTTTTTCTTGGTGAAAACAGGGTCCCAGGAATCACAGACCTTCTTTTATTATGCTTTTCATCATGACTTAACGAAAGACCACTGATAGGGAAAGGTAGCATCTATTACTAGAAAGAGAATGCTGCTGTACTGCTTCACTGCTTCGCCTTTTCACTGCTTTCATTAACACTTTGTCAAGACTAATAGAGGAGAAACCAGTACATTTTAAGATTCATTATTTGAACACAATCTTCAGAAATAATGAAAAGCTGAATCAGCAATACATTTGAGATTATAATTATCCAGGTCTCTCTTATCTTGATATGAAAAGGAGTCATAGAATGGTTTGGGTTGGAAGGGACCTTAAAAATCACCTGGTTCGAAGTCCTCTGCCATGGACAGGGACACCTTCCAAAGCTATACATCAAGAAGTATAATGATCTTTCTCAAGAGTGAAGAAGGATCTTTCTCAGTGAAGAAATTTATCCTAAAATGCAATCAAAACCTCCCCTGGTGCAACTTAATACTGTTTTTGCTTGTCCTATGGCTTGTTACTTGGGAGAGTACTCACTGATTTTCAGAAGTAATTTTTACATTGCTTTTTATTCAGTACGTGTAGTATGATTAAATTCGTAAGTATCACCAGTACTAGTTCATCCACCATTTGTTTTAGTAACAAATCTCTTTTCAGCTAGTTGTTGCAGGAGACCATTAAAAGTCTCTTATAACCAGGGAAAATCCCTTGCTGCCTAAGCAAAGGTAACTGTGAATATCTGAGCTACAGAAAATACTGTTTTAGGGTTTCTCTCAATTGAGTACTGCAGTGTATCCATCAGTCAGAAGATGAAATTAGATTGAAGCCTTGGTGACTACTCTGGCTGGCGAGAAGACATCTTCATATTTTATTAGTCTGTATATTAGGACCCATATACCTCTCTTGCTATTAGAGGTATATTTTCACTTACGTGCATAAGAGATTGCCTTGGTATTTTACTGCCTTCAGTGAGAATTATATGTAGTAGCTAATAATAGCACTCTGAAGCCTGCACGTAGTAGTAGTTCTGCATGTAATACTTTTTATTTCTGCAGTATATGCATATTTCATTGAGATTAGCATTGCTGTCACACAGGATCTTAGTTTTTCTCCTTCAAGAAAAACGATCAGAAAATATAAGACTTCCTTTTAAAGAACAATTTTTTTGAGGAATGCAGAAAGATAAAATCACAGATGCATTGCATCTATCAGTTTTAGGACTCCATTGGTAAAAGCTTAATCAGATTTATTTTATTGCACATCCATGATTAGAAAGGCTTGAGTAAAAAACATTCTTCTACTCATTGAGAATTTCTGAGTATCTTAAACAGGAGAATATAAGGGAAGGGCTAAAGAACACACCACACTTTCAAAATGTCAAAACTACAAATTTTCCAGTTTTAAGAAATAGCTTTATTTCAGGTTTGTTTGTTTTGTTTTTTTTTTTAATTATTCTGTGTAGCTGCCTGACTGGGTGAAGAAAAACACAGACTTGAACACTGAGCAAACTGCTAGTCCATTCTGAATTAGTTATAAGACCCCACCTGGAGTCATCTAAAAACTTTGGAACCCAATATTAATATATGAATCATAGTGTCATGAGCTTTTAAATCAGAGCCATAAAAGTGGTAGATCTCTAGAAACCTTTCAGAGGCAGTTTATCATCATAGAAAATCTTTAAAATAAGGCTGCCCAAGTAGGCAGAAGGCATATTTTCACAAAATGGTTAGTGTGTGCATACTTTTTATTTAACTGAAGGCTGTGCATTTAAGAAGCTCATAATTTATTTGTATTGATCCCAAAACTAAGGACAGACCTTCTGAATCCCAGAATAGGCATTCTTCACATTGAAGTATGGTAGCTGTGTTAGAATATGTATATACAGAATGTAACGGGGGCAGATTGACAACTGCTGGCATAGCTTTTGGTATAAAAAGTAGATGCAGATATTTGTTGTTATCTTTTGGGATAAATCTGCTCTTCCATAAATGACCTTTGTTTTCATTGCTGTCTTGGAAATGACAGTCAAACAACAATTATGTATAGTTTACATATAAACAGCTAATAAATTAGTATAAAGATAGCCATTATTGCTGACACTACTTGCATGGCTGTCTTAGAGCTAATATAATACTACTTCTTGATTTATCCACTTGACTTTAATTTTACATTCTTTTAATGGGGAGAAGGGAAGCAGTGTGTGGCCTTGACATTACAAATTAATTTGTAGTTATATATCAATATGAACTAATCAGTGTGAATCACAAGTTTAATGAGTATAAAAAGGTCACCTTGAGATATTAAAGTTTACTTCCAATTCAAATGTCTTTTATCTCTTGCATTATTGGCATGAACCATTTTACCTTTTCCTGCCCCTTTGAGAGGAAGCAGGTTGTCTGGGGAGACTTGATGTCTCCATTCTTTGAAGGTTTTCAAGACATCACTGGATAAGACACTGAGTAACCTGGGCTGACCTCAAAGCTGGACCTGCTTTGAGCAGGAGGCGAGGTGAGAGACCTCCTGAGGTCTCATCCAACCTCAGAATTCTGTGAACCTGTGAAAACAGCTGTCCATTTCAGAAAGCAATGCCTTAATCAGACTACTAAAAAACTATTGCTTGTACCTGGTAATTATTTAAGTCAAAGATGTAAGATCTACTGTGCATCAGCTTTATATGCTGCTGTCCTAAGATATTACTTGCCAATGGAATACACAGGGTATCATGCTAACTTATGCTTTGAGCTGTTTTGAGCTGGCAAATGTTATTGTCTTAGCTGGTGTCTCTCTTGGAAGTTCAGTAATGCAGCAAACCTTGGGACACAAAGGCAAATCAGAAACTTGTCAGACCTGTAAAAAATGCATTCCCTAATAGCTGGATAAAGAAGCAAACCCCATTTGTTTGGTTTTCTGGAGGGCTGTGTTGTAGCTGAAATAGGTTCTTTATTTTTGAGCGCTACTTCCATCTTTGTTTTTAAAACTGTCATATATTATAGCTAGTGTATTCAAGCATAAGGGACTAAAACTGACTTCTAAATTAATGTGTAATTCAAAGCATGCCGAAGTACAGACTTAAAAATCCAGTTTCAGCTTCACATATACCATTGGAGCATTGCAGCATTTCATATGATTTTAGTTCAAAATAAAATATGGATGACCTTAGTTACAACAGTATCCCCACCCTGTAAAACCTGCTCAGATAGAATGAGGCTGAGATTCTGCCACCATTGTTTCAGTGTTTGTTGGTTTGGTTTTGGTTTGGTTTGTTTTTTCCTTCTAGATACCTTAAAAAGGTCTGCCAAGAAAATGTGGGATGATTTCTTGGTCACAGTCCTTAACCATTTAAATCTGATTTTAAACTTTGGTAGATCCAATTTCTATAGTGATTTTGCCTTTGTGAACAAGGCTGTATGCATAACATCTAACATGAGTAAAACCTGTATAATGTTCCTAAAGAGGAATGATTGAACTAAGTCATTAATCCTTAACTGACTGTGTTACATTTCCTTTTAAATCTGCAACGTTATGTTACTTTTTCACTTGCAATCTTACTTACAAAGAGGAAAACATAGCTGGAGTGTTTTAAATACACTATGAAGCTCTTTATGCAAGTGGTTGTTCCATCTGGAAGGTAAAAGCAGGGCAACACTGAGACAGCACTCTGGGGATACAAAGACAGGAGAAATGATGGAAAGTTACAACTATGGTTCTAAAGGGAAGGTGTAGCTTTTGTGATCCTAGGATTTTAATCCAAGCACTGTGTCTGTGGTAAAGGGAAGAAAATCTCTTCTTCAGAAGCTATGGAAATGACTGATACATCTGATAGGCTTCCAGTAATTCTGGCAAATGTGGGCTGTGCTTCTGTGGGATATGATTGATGCCATGCAGCCCTGCTCTGCTCTGTATTTAGACCAGAGTGGTGTTCATTCTGAATCCTCTTGTTTCTCGTATCATACATTATGTAGGCTTTTAAGTATTTTCTGTATTTATAGAAAAGAATCATGCACGTTCTGAAGCGATGCTGTTTCCCCAAGAAAAAAAAAAAATCTCCCTGTTTCCCTAAGACTCTCTGTAGTAAATGAAGAGGAGAATGGTACAGCAAAGGAAAAGTTTAATGTGATGGCTTCATGTTATTGCTGCAACTATCTTCAGCCTGTCCTTTCTGTGGGGTTGTCCTAGTTGCTTCATAAGCTAAGAAACTTAGGTGATCTTTGGACTTCAGTTCATTCAAGGTTTTCTTTTAAGGTTTGATGCAACTTTAGCTTATGACACTGACAAAAAGAAACTCATACTTTTTCTGTGCTAATACAAATAAATGGTGAATGTGAAAGCAAACAATGCAGTGGTTGATTTAAAATTCATCAACTAAAGAATGAGAAAAACTGAATGAGAATGACTTAGGGAGCAGTACACCCAGCTCATTTATTTATGTTACTATTATTCAGGTTTCACTATGATTCCTAGCTTAAATAAGATAAGCAAGCAAAATGTAATTTGTAAAGTAATACTGAACTTATATGATTATAAATATATACATGTTGTTTACTTTAGCACTTAAGAGCACCTCTTAATCATAAGAAAATTCACTGTAGGACAAGATATCTTGGTATATTTTTTCAAATACAACTTTTGTCTCATTTTAGTTTCAACCGGCATTCTTCCACCTCCATCAACTACCAATCAAAGAAGAGGTATAAATATGTTTTCTGCAGCTACACTACCTTAAAAGCACTTAACAAAACAGTTTACTGCTGCTAGTAGGCATCTAGTAAAGTGTTAACATAAAAATGATCTGCTTAGAAATATTTACTCTTTCTGACAACTAATAGTTTTCAGAGCCGGTATTTAATTTGCTGCCTGTCACATGTCGTTGGCTACTACAGATAAATTCAGTAAGGGTGCTTTCACTGCTTCTCAAGGTGCCATTGCTCCATTGCTTCCTGTCTCATGAAAGCATCTTTGATCCTTAGGATATCTTTTTATTCTTTTCCTTCTTTCTTTTTTTATTTTTTCTCTTTCTCTCCTTTCTTTCCCTTCCTTCTTTTCCTTCCTTCTTTCTTTTCATCACATGCATCTTTTCAGCAGAAATTCTCATAAATCTTTTAACTTCACTAAAACACTTAATGTAGCGTATCATTTTATTTCTCTTTGACAAGCCTTCTGATCTTCCTCACTGTAATTAATATGCATCATACACTCGTAAAATAGTTCAGCAATTGACTTCTTTTAATTTTGCCATGATTTTGGTACTATGAATATGTGGGGGGGTTTATGTGTGGTGTTCTTTGGTTTTTCAACTTTATTTCCCTGAATATACAAGTGGTGTCATTTTACCATGCTGTTAACTTTGGGAAGCACTTGAATTTTGAATAACCATTTTTCTTCATGACAGTCTAAGTATCAGTCGTCTGGCTCAGAACTTCTTTATGTATTTTGTACATTAAGAGAGCTTCAAATGAGTCTTTCTACCAGTGGACCTTCAGATTAAGGCTGTATGACACATGATGTAAAATCTTTTAATCCACATTGTAAATATTGATCACTGATCCTGTAAAGGTAAGTATGTTTTACTGGTTTTCTGTCTTGTTTACCTTGAATAGTAGATTTTAAAACAAGGAAAAGTCTTTGATAGTATGTGTTTAGCTAAAGGCATTTTGAGAGTTGTATGTGAAGCCAATGTACCTGAAGTGTACAACTTCCTGACTGTGATACGGTAGGAGCAATGATCCTCTGTCCAGTGACCCCGACTACAGTGCAGTCTTATGTACTACAGGTGAGGAGGCATCAACAGGAAATAGATGGAATGAATGAAAAGTAAAAATTCTTACTGTGCTTAGAATAGCTTTAGTGGTTACAAAATCACAGCATAGTTCACAACAGAATTTACAGTGAATACAAATCCACTAAAACAGTTTATCTTGGGAGAGTCCTGTTCACTCATGCTACAGTTCACTCATATAGCCCTAAGCCCTAGACTAAGTACAGAAATAATCAGTTGTAGTCATTGTAAAATAGCTATGTTTCTAGGTCTAATTAAACAGATAAATTAGCCTGAGGCAGTAATGCTATGCAAATTAGATCTATAATATAAGCACTGTCAGAGTAGCAAAATGCTATGTTGTCAGGATAGGTTTGATTTGCTCAAAATTAAAAATCAAACATTTACATGTGTCAGGATGTTTTGTTTTTTTTTACCAGGACTCAAAGGAATTTGCTAGGTTTGCCATATATAAAAATTCTCCACATGGCATCTATTTCCACTGCTAAAGAATGCACAAATCAAGATGGACCAGTGGTCTTGCAAAGCTGGATGGTTCTTGTGCTGGCAACCGTTTTCCTATAGACAAAGCCAATATGGAAATAACTCCTAAGCTGTCAGCACAAATAGATAGGGATTTGATTCATACAGAGAGTGAAACTGAAGGGGAAAACAAAGTAGAAGTATGTTTTCCTGGTGAGCAAGAATGATGTTCAACAATGAATGTTTGGTTTTTTTTAATTGCACACATCCCAGTATCTGTTGCTTCCCTCCCTCATACTTTATTCTTTCTTGCTTGCTTTGTTTATAATGCTCTTTTAGTGGTCTATGAAGCAAAGTCACTACAAATAAAATCATCCTAAGTAACAGGCAAATAGATGAGGCATGTATTTCAATGTGTTACTTTGGTCAAACTGAGAATCGCTATCCAAGCCATAAGACAGAGAAAAGCTATTTCTCATTGATGTTTCGAATCCTGAGCAGAAGTTTTTAATCTAGGAATGCAGCAAGTGCATCATAATATTGCATATCATGTGCTTTTGGGTTAGCTAAATCTGAACATTAGAAAAATGATTGTAAATCCTGTTTTCAGTTTAAACAGGGAAAAGAGTTAGTTTCAGAAATGATTTTTTAAAGGTCACTACAGTCTTTCTGAAAAAGAGTACAATGCTTATAAATAGTAGTTAATATTTGTAGTAGCAGTAATTGTTCTTAAAATTGATCTTTTTAAGTCAAGGAGATATCCCTCATTGATTTATCTTACAAAAGAACAGTCCTGTTGGTTTCCAGAGGGACAGAAGATCCCAACTTTGTAGGCATGTTCCTGAATTCTAATCCCTTGTTAAACTTAGAATTCCTTTAATAAATTTCTCATATTCCTTCAGTAAGCTATTTTCTGTGACAACAAGAGCAACTTGGCATTATTCAAAATCCTTATTTGGCTATTTTTTCTTTTCAAAGAATTGTCTCAGCCTTTCTTAGCAATGACAACTAATGAATCTCACTATGTTCTCTCCATAGCTCTCAAGGACAGTTCCTCTCCCAGTGCTTTGGAAGCTGCCAAATCCGTCATTTCAGTATCAGTAACTTTTGCTGTTTGTAAAGTTGCTCATACCTTCATTTTGCTTTTAGAAACACAAGCCAGTCATATACTCCAATGCCAGTTTCTGGAAGCTATGGTGAAAGTCCTGCTGCTTCTGGTACTTCCAAAATGAGAGTTGTTACTACTGCCAGCATAAAGCCTTCTGTCTACCAGCCAGGTAAGGTAGCTTCAACACACTGAGAGGATTCAGAAAAGAAATGCACAAGCTTCTTTTAGAAAAAGAAAATGGAAAGAGTGCGCATCTTGCAATAGGACACACATTAGGAAAGATTTACACACATGGAACCAAATGCTGCTAGTTGGTAGTTTTGTTTCAGGTTATCTTAAGATCAAGGATTATGTTGTATTTGTATTCTGCTTTGGAGTGAAAATGTGGAAGAAACGGAAAAAGAAGAAAAGCAAGGGGGAAATCTGTAATAAAAAATACGTAGCCTGGTTTTTCAAAAGAAATACATTTGTAAAATAACCTAGTGTGCCCAGTTGGGAGCCCAGTTACACTTCAAAGTTGCTAAAACAGCTTAAGAATGCACAACTCAGGTAGGAAATAAAATAAGTAAAGGTAGCTTGAGTAGGATATATTTGCAAAATAGACAGGGCCACACACTGAACTTCTCAAACTCAGGCTTATAGTTGATATAAAGATCGACCTATTAAGGTACTTCATATGCTATGCTTCTATTTCCCACATACCTAGTTTATGAAGGAATATATTTGATTATTCATACATGTGGAAAATATACTCCTTGATGTTATTTAAATTCCCCTTGTATTAATATGTTACCAACAGAGTGAACTAAAACCATTGATGACCAAAATGTGAACCCTCAAAATGAACAAATTAAATGAGGCAGCAATATAAGTCTAAATGCAGTTCTGTTTCAAATTAAGCTTCTCCTGATCTTAGCAAAAGAATTAAAATATTGATTTATATCTTGATTGTCAAGTAAATATGAAACGGCCAAGAATTCTAACAAGCTTAAACTCTGTCTTCTGTAATGTTCTATCTCTGGATCTACTGAAATGAAACCAATGCAGAAATTTTACTCAGACGTAAAGCAGACAGAAAGATTAATTGCTTGATTTTTGTATTTGAGATATAAAGGTGGAAAAGCCAGTTCAGAGTTACCATGAGCTGTTTAAGGGTCTCAAAGTAAATACAAATTTCAGCTTCTCATTTGCTTTTGGTTAAGTGTGTCGGCATATACCATGTTCTCACTGAAGGCAAATATTAATTATTTTTGTCTTGCAAAAGAAGGAAAGATGAAGACAGGGTTTATTTCCATAAGGCAGAACAGAGCAAACTGTGGCAAGTCAGACTATCTCCAAAATACACTGATTGCTACAAAGCCCAATGCTCATTTGGGGGAATTATAAACTCCAGTTCTCAATAGGCAAACCTGCCACAGAAATGAATCTGTAGCTGTATCAAATTAGTAGCTGTATCTGCTAAAGAAAAAGCTGGCTGTTGAATTAGACTTGGAATAAGAGGCAATGTTTTTGTTCTCTCCTGTGTGGGGTGTCTTCTTTGCAATTCCTTATATTGCTGGTTTTGAGCCCTACTGCCAATAAAGGCCTAAAGTACACAGTATGGAAACTGTTCTGTGTCACTATTTATACAGCAAATTTACTTCAGCTGCACATATTGTCTGACTGCGTGTGGAATAGTCTTATTTTGCAGGCACTGCAAGGATATAGTGTACTTTAGAGGGCAGGAGAAAATTCAGAATAATACCTGATGTGATATATTACAAAGACAAAATTCAAATAGCATTAAGATTGGCAGAGAAAGAAACAGTAAGTCTCCCTATATTGTTCAAGACTTTGAAATATGCAGTAAAGGATTCTATTCTAAAATACCTTTGGAATTGAACCCCAAAATTATTCAGGTATAAAAGACATTACATACAAGGATTTTATTGAAGATGTTTGGGTTTTCTTGTACATTTTTAAAGTTTTATATATTTGATGTAGCAGCATTTCATTGTTTTGGAAGGTGAGCTGGCCCCAGATGCAGTTGCAGTCCTGAGCAAACAGGAAATTGTCACTTGGGAAGAAATGGAGGAAACGGCATTTCCTGTCACAGATGGGAAAGTTCAATAGTACTTTGAAACAAGCCATCAAGACAGTTATAAAACTTCCTCACTCAGCCTTGTCAATGCACATAAATTCTGTCCAGCAGCATAAAATTCAGCCTCAATCTGAGAGACCAACTGTTCTCAAATTGATAAATGAGATCACAAAATACCTATTTTTCTTCCAACCTGAATACAACCTCAGGCTTTTGGAATAACTATACTATCACTTATCAAATAATTTCTTAGACTTCTATTTTTCTAAATCTACTGTGTGAAAAGTCCGAAATAGTGGAGATTAAGGGTTTGCAACATAGAATTTAGAAGAGGAATGTCTTTATCCTAGCTTTCAGAGTTGATGGGAATGAAATGACTGGTTTCCCGTAAAAAAAAGTGGACCGGCAACTTCCAGATTAAAACATGCAGCAGCAGTCTCATACATGCAATATCCAGAAACCTGAATCAATCACTAAGAGAATTTACAGGACTATTTTAATCTGTGTCAGTTTGAAAATAAATAAATAAATGGGGCTAAATTTTGTTTATACTGAAAACAATCTCAAAATTACATTGGTAAGTATCTCACTTAGATCTGAGTAATCTACACTTTAAAGCAAAGAAAGAGTGCTACTTTGACTAACCTAATGCAGTAGGAATTGGCTGCTGCTAAAAATCTTTGTTTTCTTCCTACAGGGAAAAATCTGAACTCCAAATTCTTTTCCCTTCAGAACTCGTTTTTAAAAGGAGCATACTTCTTTTCTGAACAAGGTCCACTAGATGGCAGAAAAATACTTGTGTTTCCTTTCTTGTATGCTTTCCAAGCCTAGAATAGTGCTTTCATACAGTCCAAGCAACTCAAACGCCAGAATTATACTACGAAGTAACATGATACCTGAAAGTAAGAAAGCAAATCTTTCCTTTTAAATCCCAAGCCCTAACAGGGCTACTCATGTATGTAGAAGTGCTCAAGTGTAAAGGCCTAATCTGCTCTTTTAGAAATTGGTAGAAAAATTCCCACAGATCTCAAATGAACTTTTCACTCAATCCTGAGCACCTTTAAAACTAAAACAGCAAGTTACATACCATCTTCCATTTTAAATTCTTCTAAATAAGAATATAGAGGACATAGAATCATAGAATGGTTAGAGTTGGAAAGGACCTTAAGATCATCCAGTTGCAACCCCCCTGCCATGGGCAGGGACACCTCAAAGTAGACCATGTCTCCCAAGGCTCTGTCCAACCTGGCCTTGAACACTACCAGGGATGAAGCATTTGCCACATATTTGGGCAACCTCACTTCCAGTGCCTCACTACCCTCACAGGAAAGGACTTCTACCTTATATCTAATCTGAACTTCCATGTTGTGTTATCCGTTGTATCCGTCATCTACCATGTACTGGAACAGTATATAGGAAAATTTGGGTCTTCAAGGATGTGGCCAGTAAGCATAGAACAAGCAAAATCAGTTGTGATTATGAATTATATTTGTTACTGGAAAATTACAAATAACCATTACGTGTTTTACTATCAGAGGAAAACAGAAAAGGGAAATTGTTTTCACAGTGTGAGCTATTATGTAAGACTAAAGTATTAGATTATATGACTCTTTATCAAATGCATCTTTGGTACACACCTTTTGTGGAGGGAAGATATCCATTGACCACAAATGAAGAGCTGATGGGGAGAATTCCAGATTTCCCAGAAGCAAGGAATTTGCTTGCTCCTACTGCTGTTAAGAGAAACCTCTTCTGCCATTCTCTCAAGATAACAATAGTCCCATTCTTTCTCTCCTACTCGAAGAGAGTCTGAGGACTGAGTGAAACAAGGTGATAGAGGCTGGGTTACTGAATTGTTGTAAGTATTCATTTTTGAACAGTCAAGGGTCAGCTCACACAGTACTGATATTTTGATTATCTCTTATATACTGAATCTTAGTACAGTTTAACAGCAAATAGGACCTTTTTATCTGCTGCATGTATGTTGGAAGACTTTGAAATACACAAACAAGGTGAATTTGTATGGCAGAAGTTACTAAGATGAGAGTTGTTCGAATAAGCTTACTGTTATAGCTCTAAGATAATAGAACTTCCCAGGGAAGTTGTGAATGCTCCATCCCTGGCAGTGTTCAAGGCCAGGTTGGACAGATCCTTGGGTGACATGGTTTAGCGGGAGGTGTCCCTGCCCATGGCAGGGGGGTTGGAACTTGACAATCTTAAGGTCCTTTCCAACCCTAACTATTCTGTGATTCTATAATAACAACTCCTTCTTAACAACAATAGCTAAAATCTCCAAGTTACTGGAACCCTTCTAATACATTGCAATGACACTATTTTAAATAACAGTAATTCCTGCCTGTTCATGGGGAGGAAATATGTTGTAATAAATCCAGCCTGTGAAAGCAAATTAGAATAGCTGAAAAGAGAACTCGGAGCAGTTACAAACACCCAATATTTGTATTTTGCAATAATTCCCCTGGTATCTTCTTTCAGCAACTGGAAAAAAAAAAAATTCTGCTTTATTTTACTGCAGCATGTAGAAAAGATAGAGTAAAAAGAAATATAGGGTAGAGAGAATAAGCACTTCCCCAGTGTTTATCCTTCAAAGGAGTCTAGATTAATCCAAACCCAGATAAATCATATGCTGTCTGCACTGGTTGGAATAAACTAACTGGAAAAATAAAACACCATCATTGTGAGATTAAGGGAGAAAAAGTGAAAAGCTAAGAGGTTGTAAGCATTTATGAAAGACAGTCATAGAAAAAGGTATCCTAAAAATGGTACCTGGACTGCATTTGTTCTTCACTTCTGGAACTCTGGGTTCGAACATCTCACCATTTTGTTAGGCCCCCTGTGGGATACACTGCTGTTCTTTGCATGAACAAGAACTGGCTCTTGGGAGAGGGAGAATCCTTTCACAAAACTGAGTGAGCTAGAAGTCACCTTATTTAATTAGAGAGCCTCATAGGTGGGAGCCTTTTGAACTCACCAATTAGAGATGAAATATTGCCTTCTAATTTTGCCTAGCTTAATACCTTAATACATAAATAGCAACAGCCTCAGGATTTAAAGAGATTGCATATAAACTGAGTTCTGAAATCTTTAAACACTGTTTACCATACCGAAGTTAAAAAAGAAGCCTGAAGCTAAGGTGGGATAGAGTTTTATGAAGCAGAAATTTTTTGATAGTGTAGCATAAGAAAATTTTATCAAGAAGATTCATTAGCTTCAACTCCGAACTCAGTAAAAAAATCAGAGATCACTGGGGTGATCACAGTGGATTGATATATATGCAATTTAAGTACCTTTAATTGCCAATAATCAGTATTCTGTGTGGATGGGTGTGGGCTAAGGGAGGAGTGTTAAGTAGAACAATCTTCTTGCCATTTAATTATGCAGAAAGATTCATGTTACACTCAGAACCTTCTTTGTTGAAATACCTTTATACCTGCAAGCTCCTTAAAACTGTAAACGTTGTATTTGATCATCATTTTATTGGCATTGTGATCTACAAGGCGCAGGGTATTTAACTAGACTGCAGAACTGACTTCTGTTCCCAAATCTATGCTCTTTCCAAGCTTCTGTTCCTTCTCACACAAACCAACTATCATTCACTTTGTTTTCCTTGCAAAGGGCAAACTGCATTTAGTGCTCCTGTACTTGGCAAAGCGAGGCAGTTTCTTGGGCAGTGACTTTAGTCAGTATAAGAGCTGACATTCTGAAAAAAGATGGGCAATGGGAAAGCTTTTTGCTATGCGCAGGCTCTAGCTTCTGCTTATTTTTTGTGATAAAGCTCCACCCAAGATTAGAGCCTGGTGCATACAAACACAGAGGTAGCCTGCACTAAGATTTCATGTGATAGGCAAAAGGTGGAAGAAAGGAAGTGTAACATTTCCATTTTATACATAGGAACTGAAGCACAGAGATACTACGCTTTGCTTGAAGTTATACAGGAAGTCTGTGGGAAAGTGAAGAACTGAACAGTGATCAGTCATAACCACAAATCAGGCCTTCCTCTAAGTGCTCTTGGCTTTGTCTTGCTGGTCATGTGAGCTGAACTAGCTCCCTCAGTATTGCTTCTAGTGCTCTCTATCTCTGTGTTCCTTGGTGAGCCTGTGTTTGGTGACATCTGTGGCAAATGCTGCATTTTAATGAATAGAACAAGATCAAAATTCAAGCATAACTTTTTATTTAAAAATTTTATTATATGATCTGGTGTTTCTATTTTTAACTTGTCTTAAATAGATTATATGGCAGTCTTTGAAATTATCACAGAATTGTCATATCCATTCCTACCAGAAAATGAAGATATGTCCTTAAAAATGATCTCCATAAAATCTGTAAAAGCCAGCAGACAATGACTTCTGTAATGCGTGTAGATTAGAAGTCAGTGACTGTGCTGATGTCCTTGGCCTCAGTCCAGAATTAATGAGCAGTATGGGAAAGACCATAATTAAATGTCACCTGCAGCTTTTATTTTTTTATGTGTCACTTTTTTATGAGTACATCTGGTAAGTGTTGCTGCTTTGCCATCAAAAGAAAAGACTTTAAAATACTTTTTGCTTTCTTTTGGGATACTTAAAACAGCGCCGGCACCAGTTCATTCCTACACCCCTGCCAACGCTGAGCCTGCAAGTCGCCCTCCCTGGGTAACAGATGAGTCCTTTTCCCAGAAATTTGCACCTGGAAAAACCACCACCACTGTCACAAAGCACATCCTACCAAGGGGTGCTCCCGTACCATCTCCTGCCTCAACTTCTGCTTACCCATCTCCAGTTTCAACTTCTTCCCAAGCTCCTGCTAGAGGAACAGTTCAGAGGGCTGAGCGTTTTGCAGCCAGCAGCCGAACTCCTCTCTGTGGGCACTGTAACAGTATAATTCGGTAAGGTCATGAGGTTTTGAAAAGGGATGAAGCAGAAAAAGAAATAAATCAGAGACACTGGATATTGTATATTAATATACAGTACCAGAGCCTAAGACTCAGTTAAATTGCCCAGCAGGGATGTCTGTTTTCTGCTTCATTAATTTAACATTTCCAGAGCTCATTTTGCTATTCTGTGGTTCACGTTTTATCATTGCAAAGTTATACATGCTAATTGTTTGTTTCTTGGATTCTGTGGCAGATTGCTGTTTGTTTTTTAAACAAGTTTTTGGTCCTAAGGTACCCTTTGAAGGAAGTACATATAGCTTCATTGGGAGAGTTTGGGGGCTGAGGGGAGGATAATGGAGAGAAAGGGAAGAAGACATCATCTTGGAAGAGCAGCCAAGTGTAATTGTTGCTTTTCTGTCTGGAAAAAGATAATGCCTACGCTCTATTACCAGTGATTCATAGAATGCTTCTCCCTTCTCCTTTCCCAGTTCATTCTGCTGGACCATTGCCCATTGTTACCCTGTGGACTGCTAACCAACTTTAAGTAATCCATGTTTAATGATAGTCTCCCCCCAGTAAAAGGAGCTGGTTTGGTGGTGTGGAATTGCTGATTATTGCCCTTCATATATCCTGAAATTGAAAGATTCCAGGAATAATCACTATACCTAAACACAATCAAGAGTAAATCACCAAAATGAATTTAATGTGTCTTCAGTATAATGAAACAGCAAGCTGTCATCTGATAGTTTGACATTTCTTGAATATGCCACATGCAGTGCTCTCTCAGATGAGAGGAAGGCAGGAGAAGGAGACTTGAGGAACTATTGTGAGATGTGGGTGTTTTTGTTTGGAAACTTGCCTACTTTTTCGTGCTTTCAAATAGTAGCATAATCTTCTGTGTTACAACCCTTGGCCTTTTCCTGTTGTCTTTGCAGTTCTTTACAAAGGCCACTTAGAGCTATGGAGATAGGAAAATGATGATTTTTCTCACAGTTGTCTGTTAAATCCAATAGATACGACTAAACAATAATGAAAGATTTTAACCAATTGGCAAAGTGCGTGAGTAATGATCTTGAAAAAGACCATTTCTGTTCAGGCTTCTGGATCTTATTTTAATGCACTTTCATGGTTTAAGTAGAATGCTGTGTATGTGATGTCTAACAAAGTGGGTTTGTTATCAGGGTCATTCAATCTTTTTTTTTATCTATTAAGATAATTACAATTGTTTACAGGGGTCCTTTCCTGGTAGCCATGGGTCGCTCTTGGCACCCAGAAGAATTCAATTGTGCTTACTGCAAGACATCCTTGGCTGATATGTGCTTTGTGGAAGAGCAGAATAGTGTGTACTGTGAGCGCTGTTATGAACAGTTCTTTGCACCAACCTGTGCCAGATGTCACACTAAGATCATGGGGGTAAGAGAACAAGCTTAACCCTTTCTCCAACTGCATCATTCATTGAAATAATGAAGTAGTTTAGACTGTAAGTAGTGAATGTAGATATTTATTTCCCCCATTTAATAATAATTTCCCAGCCTTTTGATTATTTCAGAATGAAAAACGTACTATTTTATAGTAATTTTTATCTATCCAAAATCTTGGATATTTCTGTACCGTATTCAACTCTTAGACAGAATATGTAATCCAGCTACCATCTCACTGAGTGTAAAATAAGTAACACTTCCTGGATAGTTCCTCACTATCTGATACATAGTTACTTTTTTCTATCTTTTCCTTATGTTTATAGTAAGAGACTTGAACTCAGTTTGTTTGTTGTTTTTTTTTTCTTACACAGGACTTAGTCTAAATTCCAATGGAATAGTCAGTGATCTTAGGAAGAGGCCCATTGCTCTTGCTGCACCTCACTGGCAGCTAGCAACACATCTGCTGAAAGGAATTCTATTGACTTCTTATAGTTAAGAAAATCCAGAATAAATACAAAGATCTGAATTCCAGAAAGGCAAAACTAGGTGCCTATTTTGTCTTAATGTACTCATGTTTAGGTACAAGTAAATTTGCTACACATATATGTTAGATAGTGATGAGGTTGGAATACCATAAAATAATTTTAGCAAGGTAGTTATGCCTGCAGTAATAGAGAATATATGACATGATTCTCTTAAACAAGGAAGCAAGTAGTACCACAGTGTTTTTTCACTGTTTAGCTGTCACCTTTTCACATGTCTAAATGTTAGCATTGATAGACTAGATGTTTTTCTCTGCAATGGCCAATTAGGCATGGCAGCATCAGACATCTAGGGTGAAGCTCTGGCTCCAACCAACTCTTGTTTGCTGCTGCAGCAGTAATTTTACAGCAGAGTACTGACTTAACTTACCTAATTAATGCTGGCACAAATCAGTTCCCCGTTATGGATTTTCATCAGGAAAATAGCAAAGATGCCAGCTGCCTCTATTTATAGTAATAAGATTTCTCAATCTGTTTTTTGCTTCTTAGCTTAGTGAGGTTCATAAATGGATCCAAACCTATTTATCAGGGATAGTTGTTTGCAAATAGTAACAGAAGTTAATGAATCTCAAATGGTGGTTCTCTAATGAGATATATGGCAAACATAAATTAGACTATTTTGTCTATTCACTCAATGGAAGAGGACTTCAGTCCCTTTTGTCATAGCCAATGGAGATTAAAAATAATCTTTAGAAGAGAATAAGAGTCTAGGTATATAGCTGGAAGCAACATAAACCAGGATCTAGATTCTCAGCTGGTGTAAATCTATGCTGTTTCACTAAAGTTAATGAAGTTAAATTAATTTGCACCTGTTATGAAGCCCTCTGAAAACTGGACTGTTTGGCAGAGATATATTGTCGAACAACATCTTGGGTACAAGTAAGACTGAGAAGTTAGCAGAGCTCAATACAGGAGGTTTTGGACTTGGAGGGCTTCTGTGTGACAAGATAGTAATGAAGCCGTCAGTAATAGACATTGATCTATACTGGATAAAAGAAAGAAGCTGATAAAAATCTGGATAGTCAGTTGAAGAGAACATCAGTTGCACAGAATTTGTTTTCCTGTGCTGAGCACATGGCCTCGGAACAGACAACACAGACTCATTTCCACTGATCACATACATTAAAATCTAAGAACCTATTTTTCAGATTTTTTTTTTTTTTTAGATTTTCACATTAGTTTGTGAAGCATTCTTCTGAGCAGCTTACAGAAATTAGTACATAATGTAAGTTACTTTGAAACATCAGAATTAAAATATTATCACCTCCATGTATTTCTTGGTCTCAGAAAGAAAATTACGCTTTAAAATTTATTTAACAAATCATACTCTTGCATTGAAGAGTTCATACTAGTCATGTCAAAACAAAGGAGAAAATAATCAGAATCTTTGTGCAGAATCTCTCCTGCAACAGTGATTGAGCATGTTGATACAAACAGCTGGCTGAACTATGTTGTTTCATTTTGGCAAATATGTTGTTCCAGAAAGTTTGCAGTCCTATTTCCTCTTTCTCTCCAAAGGAGCCCAATTTCTGTCACACTTCTTTAATTTTGAGGGGGAGAATTGGGAAAAATTTATAGCATCTCTGCCCTCTCTTTGTTCTCCAGTAGGTAGTTACAGGACATGCTATTCCACTGGAGATTTGTTTGTTTGTTTGCTTTACAGGAAGTGATGCATGCCCTAAGACAGACTTGGCACACAAGTTGCTTTGTCTGTGCAGCTTGTAAGATGCCGTTTGGGAATAGCCTCTTTCACATGGAGGATGGAGAACCTTACTGTGAGAAAGGTATGGCAAACTGGACAGTTCTGCTCAGTAATCATGTGCTTCATGTTTTATGGAAGCAACATAAGAATAAAGCAGCTGAACAAAATAAAATCAGTTACCCATTCAGCATGGATTTTGTTTCCACTTTCCGCATATACAGGTGTTTCCCTTGTGTTCTCCACTTTACATGACAGACTGGCAGAGCCACTGGTCTTTTGCCTCTATGTCCCAGAATGCTTACCTCATTTCTCCCCCTCACATATTATGATACTTACCTTCCACTTCTCTCCCTGCACTTTACCCCCTCTCCCCCTCCCTTTCCTGGTAGAGTCTGCTTACCAGAAAACTACATGTGATTGGGTGAAAAATTCTTCTTTTAGGATTCCGGTAGCACTTCTAGACAGTATGTGTGGGTTGCTGCCCACATTCTCTCTACTAAAGTTGCTTGAATTATGACTTCTGGTACTGCTCTCTCACCCTAAAACTGATCAACCAACATATATGAAAAGATAGCTCTGTTAGATGTGCAACACACGGTAGTGCAGATTTTGTTTTCCGAGTGTTGCAACAAATGAACTGCTTCTTGCCAACTAAGAAAGGAAGAGCCTTCCAAACTATGGAAAGGGTAATATAGTTTAATAAATGGCGCTTGCCATGCAAATGAGTTGCATGACATGGTCAGGAAGCAGGTTAAGGTTTAAGTGATATTCCCACTGTTAGCCCTGTGTTGTCTATCTAATGAGCTTCTGGCCTCTTCCTCTCTGGAGAGTCCTTCCTTATGGTTGTGCAAATCAAATTTTACAAATCAAAGTAACTCTTAGTGAAGAATGCAAACCATACAGCATGACTGACTTGGCACCTACCCATTAGAATCAGAGGGTTTGCCATAACCTCTAGTGGCTCACGAATTCCATATACCTTTTGAATTTCTGCTAATCTTTTTCAATGCCAAATCTTTCAGACTGCAGTTGATGTTCAAAGTAAAGATGTATTAACCAGCCAGTATGGGGTTTCCATACTATTCTCTCTCATTGCAGAGAGAATATAAATCCAGTCATAGAAACTTAAATTATGCTTCTACACCGCCCTTAAGGTAACATCACTGGCCATTAAATTGTGTTTTGTATGACCATATTTGCCCTTATTAATAGCTTCCACATACATTAAAACTGGGAGAAACATAATTTTGTATTTCATGATTTTTTTTTTGTTTCCAGTGCTTGTGATGACAGCTGTCATGCTGATGTGGGGTTTTGCACTGAGTTAGTATTTAAGTAATGAAAGAAAAGAAACAGATTTCAGTGTGTTTCAGTGAATGTAGGAAGAAATTGAGCAAAAACAAGAAAAAAATGATCCTCTGGAAACTTTCTATTTCTCTTGGATTTAATACAATTATGTTAAGAGCTTGTTCTAAGTTTGCTTTTTGTTTTATTTTAGATTATATTGCTTTGTTCAGCACAAAATGCCATGGCTGTGATTTTCCTGTTGAAGCTGGAGATAAATTCATTGAAGCACTTGGACACACTTGGCATGATACCTGCTTCATTTGTGCTGTGGGTTCTATACCAAATACTATCTCATTTCTTTACACTCATAAATTGTGAAGTAACATCAGAAGACCTGAAAGCAAGAATGACTAACATTATGACTAAGAATGCAGAGGGATTGAATTTCATTTTTTCCTTGCAGATGGAGGATGGGAATCATTTTGTCCTCCATAAACTTTTACTAGAATTATTATATTTGACCATCACAACGGAGTGCTTTCTAATAAATCATCCAGTTTTAGAGAGTTCATACAGTAATATATACCAGTATTGCTGTTACTCTTTCCAATGTTTACCAGATAAAGATAAAGCAGGATTTAAAATAAATTAACACCATACCCAACAGTATAGCCACAATTTTACTTACAAAGCAATGCAGTTCGTATTTCCATGCAAAATGCTTGTTGAAACTTGTAAAAAGAAGTTTGCTTAGTGAGAATGAATAGTAATTAGCATAGAAGTTGGTCAAACTCATCAATCTGTGGTGTATGTACAGCTATGTAGTGTGGCCAAATTCCCACACTCTGCACACAAAATAGTAAAATCCATATGATAAACAGCACTCTTCATATGGTTCTAACACAGCTGTGCTACTCTGCAATGTATCATTCCTAAGGTAATAGTATCTAGAGCCTCTAATTAACTAAAAATAGTATGCTGGCCACATCAAAAATGACAATGACAATTTCTAATGTTGGTTAACTTTAAAATTTAGGTTCAAGAATCGAAAGTATAAAAATGTTTATAAATCTCTAAAGCTAAACCAGCTACTGGTCTCTTAAGGTACATGGAAGTGAGTGAGAGAAAAAATTCCTGTGAACTCTAACATAGAAAGGAATACTAAGACAGTGAGTTTCCTTCCCAAATTAACAGCTATTAGTCACTTAGACATTTTCTCTGAGTATTTCTTGTTCTTTTTTGTAAGTTCATTTAACTGCATTCTTATGTATTTATTTAAATTGGCAACCCAATTTTCTTTGGAGGCGATAGTTTTGTTAATGCAGTTCTCACAGCATTTGTTAGGCACTAACTTAATTTCTTTCAGTGGGTTAAGTCAAATGCAAATAAACACATAACTCTTAATTTCTAGCATGCTATCCCCGTATCTTTTCACATGATTTTTCTTCCACTTGCAGAAGCACATCACTGATGTTGTCCCTCACTGGTCTTAAGCCTGCCATAAGCATTATGCACAACATTTATTCTTATTCCTAGTTTCTGATGTATGGACTTTCTTAAGTGGTTCTAGTCAACTCTGACCTTGCAAGCGGTGTTGCACTACCCTGTGTAGATACCTATACAATTCAAAGGCTGTTTAAGCTTATCTAAACCTTGGCTGCCCTGCCTGGGCCATGCATTCTCAAGTGCTTTGTTATGTCAACACCAGCATTTCAGCAGCCAGGCAGAGAATTCTATCGGTTCAAGAATAACCTGGTAAGAATAAGTAAGTAGTTTTCAGTGATTCCGGATGTCCAAATGACTCGCTTCTTGATCACATAAGCACCTATACCAAGACAAAGTAATAACAGGAATGAGTATCTAATGGTACCATTGAAGGATGCTACCTCTGGGACCATGGCACCTAACCAGAGCTTTTGAAAAATCATACATGAAAAGATAAGAAGCTAGGTCTTAGATGAGCTAGCTGCATGTGCTTGAGTGTTCCACTCTCCTTTGACAGTCTCCACAAACACTGCTGGGACATGCTGGAGCTGCCAAGGGGTTGTGTGCCCTTTTTTAATAGTGAATTTAGTGGTTAGTGATGGCAAGAAAGTAGAGAGAGAGCAGAAGAAGAGCAGATGCAAACCAGAGCCTAACCTCAACATGGAGTAGGAAAACTACCAAGGCATGCACTTTGATCCTGGAATCAGATGCACTTCTGCCAAAGAAATGTGTAGGCAGAAGAGAAATACAGTTGTAATAATCATGTCTTTCTCTCTCTCTTTTTTTCTTCTTTTTTTTTTAATAATTCCTGATTGTATTTATTATTAATTCTAGGTATGCCATGTGAATTTGGAAGGTCAGCCATTCTACTCCAAGAAGGACAAGCCACTGTGCAAGAAGCATGCCCATGCCATCAATGTTTAAATGAAGAGGAGCTGATAGTCAGTAATGCTGAAAAAAGCCCAGATGGCTAACTGGGCAGTTATAAAGTTGATAACCATGGCTAGCATTTGTTTTGGTAAAATCTAGGAAGTTGATGCTTCTGAAGTTTAACTTTAACCTCTTTTGTAAAAGCAGGACATGCTTTTGGAAGGTTCCTACAGAAACCTACTGAATGAACAATCAAAGCATATGAACTAGAGCAACAGTTGGGGAAAAATAATGAAATTAACTAAAAACTGGAATATAAAACATAATATGCAAATACAATTTCAAATTAATTACCCACAGCAGTTTTATTCCTTAGACCACACACCTAGTGTTTAAGAACAACTGGAAAAGACCTTTTGTAATGTCATTTTCTTTCATAACAAGAATGAGTAAGTGCCACATGTACAATAATCTGTAGAAGCAAAGGCCATAGGATGCCAACGGAAATAAATAGATTAGGGTTTCTTCTATGAAAAGTGAGTGCTATTCTATTATGTTGTGGTGCCACCTCATAGCATCAAACATTTTAGATTCTTTACAAATATGAATTCTGCCTTGAAATCCATATGTAGTTGAGAAGCCTAGGAGATAAACCATAACTTAGTTTGAAAATAAAGTGGAAACAGAATGATGCCTTCCATAGCCCAGTAAGACTGAGAAAAGCACGTTGGGTCCATCTTACTAGCACTTGGCTTCTACATGCACAATAGATGAGTTCATTTTCAAATCCTCATGGAAAAGGACAACTGACTTTCTCCAAATTACTTCTGCATTGAATGGAATAGAACTGGCTGGAAAGGCCAGCTTTTAATTCAAAACCAGTTTTCCTTTCCTGTTGCTTTGGTTTCTAATTCCCACTGATATCAATGGGAAGTAGGAATCTATGTATGGACCTTCATATTGATGAACACAGAAGACAAGCACCCATCTAGCACAGTTAGGAAGTGGGAGATAGCTTGCAAAAGTTCTCTACTGTGTCCCATATAGTTAGGAAAAGGGCATCTTTTCTTTTGCTTTTTTCCCTATAGTAAATTAATGTTGATTAAAAATTCCTAAGGGAGCATAATGGACACCCACTCTTCATCACTTTTACTGGTTTAAATGTGACACATCCCAAATTGTTGTAGTTATTTGCCACTGTAAAACAGTAGATAGTATCTGACAGTGAGGATAACCATAAAATCGTCTTTTCTAATACCTTAGGAACAACTTTGAAGTTGTCCGAACAGTTATTTAAAAATTTTTTTTTTTTTTTTGTTAAAGAGCAATACTTGTACTACTGATAATACTTCTGAATTTTGAATTCTAAATATCAATGACTTTTGTATTGGAGATAGCAGTCTAAGTTAAAATGGAAAGGCTGATCACTACTCAAGTTTTATTTATTTCTTTAAGTGAGAATTATGATGTGTGTATTGACAGCTCGCAGCATTTTGAATTCACTAATTTTGAATTAGTGTTTCTGAGGCTGAGGATACATTCTATGGGCCACATTCTGGTGCCATCTACACCCTATTTTACTTTTTTTGAGTAAGAAGAAATTGCAGAGCATTGTCTGCCTTTTCCCTCCTATGGCTAATGCCCATTTTAAGGAAATGGTTGAGTCTTTTCAAGGATGAAGAGCTATCCAAAGCTTGGGGGCGGAATAAAAGAAATTTGGAGCTCTAATATGAGAGTTATGTTAGTTGCAAGCAGTCTGCATCTTGGACAAAAATAACCTGAACTGCCTGTGGCAGTTTTGATATGTATGACCTGTAATTTATTCAGTGGGTATCTTGGTATCTTAGTTCTCACTGATCGTAGCAGTGATCTGATCTGAGTGCTACAGGGTTAGATTTTTGTGTGCATGAATTATTCTAAACCACTAGTACATTATATGCAAAGCCCTTTTTTTAATATAGCAAGCAAATTTTCTGTTTTCAGTTGGTGCTGGGCTGGTGTGAATATGGTTCCATTGATTACAAAATCCAAAAATCTAGCTCGTAATATTCTCTAGAGGAATAAATTGTAATCATGGCAGTATTTTTTTCACTCATATTTGACTTCATTGAATACCTTTCCATAACAGTGAGACAATTCCAGATTTCCTTTTAATTTTTTGGATGTAATTAAACAAAATACTGTTTATTATTCTCTGTTATGTAAGAAAATTTACATCAGTATTTTATATATTAAGACTGCATTGACGATTTCTGTGTTACCCACTGACTAGGACTAGTCTCTGACTATCAGCATCAAACAAGGAGTCAGGCTCCTTGGGTGGACACAAAATGCTAAGACTTGTGATGCCTCAGAATGTCATGTGTGAAATTTCATTAATTTTAATCTGCATGTCTTTATATGTGTGTCTCTCTCCACCTTCCCCCTCAAAGTCCTAAAAGCTCTCTCTTCACTGGTGGTGTAAAGGAAGCATTTTAGGAGATGACCAGAGATGGAGGTCTGCAGCTTAGGCAGGGGTACAGTCTGTAAGGAGATGGTGGTAGGCAGCACACCTGGGACTGTCTCTTCTTCATGTTCACGCAGGAGCCCAGATTGCCAGCTGAAGTGATCCAGGACAGCCTGCGAGCTGCTGCAGTGGACAGGAGTGTGGGAGGCAAGAATCTTAGTGTGGGCAGGGGAAGGGGGGCTTAGATCAGAGAAGGGAGAGCACTTGTGGCAGCCAGAATGTAGGGGCTCTGGGGGCCCCTGGTTGAGTGTGAAAAGATGACACATTGAGGAGACTGGAAGCCCTTAGTGAAGCTGATGTCAGAGGAGGGGGAACAGCTAGGTAAGGCCAGTTTCACTAAGCTGACATGTTAGATAGTTGGGGTGGGGCAGAGGGGTTTAGAGGGTAATAGCTAGGGTGACTGACTGCAGTCAGGGAAAGGGCTTGAAGCAAGAAATTAGGGCACAAGTAGCTTGCAAGCTACTTGTAAGCAAAGTAAACTTACAAGCTTACAGCCCAGAGAGATAATATGAATACTTACAGAAGGGGTGAGCAAGGGAGATACAGGATCCAATCTAGTAAATTTGAAGTCAGTACAGCAGAAAGGTGAATGCAATGTCTGTAAGTGTAGCTGAGCTAGCTTGCAGAGTGGCAACAGTGAAAATACAGCAGCACTGACTTCAATGGGAACCATACTAGCTTGAGAGAGTCCTGAAAATTTCCTTGGGCAGATAACCTGCATTGTAATACATGCCCTGACTCCAGCTGGTGTCTGAGCAAGTGAGATTAAAGCTAGTTTACATATCACTATATGAGGTACACTGGTATCTCTGAATGAAGAACAGAGATACCCTGAGGATTATCATGTAATAAATTTCCTGTTTTGACTTGTGCTGCTTCATAATATGGTCCAAAAATAGGGAATCCACTTACCTGCCCTTGATATCTATATTAAGATACAATTTTTGCACATATCTGAACCAGAAATTTGTGAAGAATAATGTAGTATTTTGACTTTCATAGGGGTAGAATACCACATAACTGCTGACACTCTTTTGCCACATGTCACCTTTGTGATATGGAGGGGGAAAGATGCATAGATATATGTAATTCAGAATAGGGCCTTTCAACTATCACTGAATGTACACTCTGTACAAAAATATGCAAGATGAATAATGTATACTTGTTTATGTTTTAGGTCTCATAATAGATGCCAGGGACAAGTTCTAAGTTCCTCTAAATATTTCTTTTCATTCAAATTAAGGTCAGGTTTTACATCATAAAGATACTGTACTCCTGAATGACCAAATAAAAATACCAGTCTTTTATCTAATTACAAAAATGTTCAATAACTTTTCAGTCAAATGCTGCAAAAATGGTCTTAATGCTTTTTCTTCTGTTCTTTTTGAGGAACAGGGTAAATGAAATGTTTCCAAAGAAGACTGCTTTTATTACCTGAAAAAAAAACCACTCTTACTATTTTTTTTTTCTTTTTAGAAGTTAGTTTTTACTACATTGGGTTTACACATTACACGTTTCTAAAATCAATTCAAAACAAGGAAAAAATATTTTCTTTTGGTCCTTCAGTGGTCAGTACTTTTGGTGAAATGTTTTGTTAAAGACTATTTGTATTTATGTTTAATAATGTGAATGTCCACCGCACTGAATACACTCATTAGTGTCTACTGCTGGGCACCCTAACATTTATTTGTAGTACTTGTCTCCTGGTAGCAGATCTTAATTTCTTTAGTATTTATAAACATCAGAATTTGAAAATGAGTGGTTTCTTGCCTGCAGTGATCATATTAGAAGTCTAGGTTTTATAACATATTGACATGCTGACTTGATGCCACAAGTGCCCTTGCTTTTAGATGCATTTATTTTTCCTAAGTTCCTAGTTATTTCAGAAACAGAATGTAGTGTGGTTTATGAGGTGTGAGTAACTACGTTGCATGGATTACCTGTGCCAACATGAATAAAACAGTCTAGTAATAAAAGCAATGTGCAAATACAGTTAAAGCTTTATGATTTGGGCATATTTATTAATATGGCATGTGAACAGCTGGCAGCTTTCAGCCATGTAATACTGATAAGAAAGCTTACACAAGCTTGTTTTCTCTACTTCGGACCTGAAAATAAAAAATAAAAGCACTGGTTTCAAATTTGTTGTGTAGCAATCTTGAATGTTTTGTTATCCAGGTAATTTGTTTTAAACAAATGCTGATGATTGGCGCACTAGAGCACCTCTTCTGTGAAGGCAGGCTGAGAGAGTTGGGCTCGTTCAGCCTGAAGAAGGCTCTGGGGAGGCCTTAGAGCAGCAGCTTCCAGTGCCTAAAGGGGGCCTACATGAAATATGGAGAGGGGCTTATTACAAGGGCATGTAGTGATTGGACAAGGGGGAATGTCTTTGAACTGGAAGAGCGTAGGTTTAGATTAGATACAAGGAAGAAGTTCTTCACTGTGAGGGTGGTGAGGCACTGGAACAGGTTGCTTGAAGTATTTTTGGCTGCCCCATACCTGGCAGTGTTCAAGGCCAAGCTGGATGGGGCTCTGAGCAACCTGATTTAGTGGAAGGTATCCCTGCCCATGGCAGGGGGTTTGAACTGGATGATCTTTAAGGTCCCTTCCATCCCAAACCATTCTGTGATTATATGATGGTGTTAGTCTGCTTAAAAAATGTAGTGTACTAACAGTACATGTTGTAACTTAGCAAGGCTTGTATAGTCGTAGACCTTATTGTGTCAACAAATACTGTTTATAGTAACTTTATAAGGAATGGGTAAATTCTGTCTTAGGTTACATTGATGCATCTGAGAACAAAGTTTGATGCATAAGTTCAGGTGAGTGTTCTTCCACTTCTTAGCAGAAGTGACTTAAATAATACACAAAAAGCTTTAAACATCTTCACTGAGCTCTAGTGCTGAGAAATACTTCCAAATGAAAGAATAGCTTTGTTATAACTGTGTGGTTTATAAAAACAGCCATTTTGAGTATTCCTAATGCACACCCCTCAGGAATGCAGGATTTTTAAAGATACAAGTAATTATGTTAAAACCTAATTAAGAAGTTAGATGATAAATGGACAGACTTGGCTTTAGATAGCATTACAAAGTACAGCATCAAGAATCACAACTTTGTGCACTTTGATTTTATTTTACAGCCCTAATTTCTGTTTACAATGTGCACAAGGAAAAACACAATTCAAAAGAATGAACAGAACATCTGCAGTTTTCTGACAGTTTGCAATTGCTGGTTTTCAGATTGTCCATTCTGACCTTTAACCTTTGCACAAGACAGTGATTCCTAAACTGTGCACTGTGATCCCCAGAGAGTTCAGCTGTTTGAAGTGGAAGCAATAGAGGCAAAAGCATAGCACTGTGCCAGCTAAAGGGTGCAGAAAGTGTATAGAGCAAAGTTCGTTAGGAAAGGACACAGTGCAAAATAGTTTGACAAGAGTTGCAGTAAGAGATTCTTAATAGAAGAGGGATTATGGTTTGCTCCAAAAAAAAGTGGTGATTTCAAAAATATAGGCTTTGGCATTGTTTCCCTGTCCCATCCTGTCTGCTCTTCCCCATCCCCCCATCATGAATCTTAAATTCAGTCAGTTTCTGTTGATTAAGAAAGGAAGGAATGTGTGAATAAGATTGCTGAAACCATTATTGAATACACAATGAAATGCTTTGTTCTCCCAGCCAAATCAGAGTTATGGATGAGATTCAGATTATATTCAGGCATAAATTCTGTGCTGTATGCCTATAAAACATGCCTTGGATTGCTGTTAGAAATACAGTTCCTCCTCCTTTCAGGAAGATTACATCAAAAGAAAACAGTAACAAATGTGTTGTACTAATAAGGACTGTCAGACTGAGTCACCAGACTTTTCTGTGTAATAAGGAGAAGCAGAATGAAATTTTTTTTGAAGGAAGGTAAACTTTTAAACAAAACATGTTTTTTCTTAAAAAGTTTCTAGATTTTAACTGTTAAGGGGATAATAAATTAGTATGCATCAGTACCATTGATAAATCTGCCTCCACCTCAAAAAAGTATTTTATAATCTTACTACTTTAGAAATCAGATTATTTTCACTCATGACAAAGATGTTATGGAAATTTTTCTGCTTGCTCTTAGTTTTCCTATGTGTAGTGCTACTGAAAACAAGTTGAGGCCTTTCTGAAACTGAATTAATGATTTATTCTTCTTTTAATTAGAAGATCTAGATAAAAGTACATCTTTGAATTGAATAAATCTGATGAGCCTTCCAGTGGTTGTGGAATGAATACTGCTCCTACAAGAAAGCTAGAGAATTTACTGGTTTTCTGGAATGTTTTATTCTTACATTGAATGGGATGTTTTGGATTTTTAGGAAGATTAATAAATATCCATTGTCATAATTAAGGATCTATTTCAAAACAAAAAAATCACAGTATTTTAATTATTTTAAGATCCAGTCATATGTAGTCTGGAAAAGAATGTTAGGATGTTAGGATGATTTAGTTTGATTTAAAGAAATCTTAATGTTGATGAATACAAACATTCCAATATTCATGCATGGAACATGTATGTTATGTGGATGAGTTTCATACCTGCAGTATTTGGGCCTAAATTGTTGATATATGGTCCATTTACTATACATAGCATAATAATAATGCATTAAACCAAGTGCACCTAGAGACCTAGTTTTTGTTCCCAGTTTTTCATTACCAATATCTTTGTGCTTTGAGGTAACATCTTTACTATTCTGATATCATAGAAGACGTGGGAGCAGAAAGAAGGGCACACTTGCCAAAATCTAACTTCATATAAAAAATATGAATAAAAAATTTATTTGTGCATTATAAACAAAGACTAAATATATTCCTTCACAACTAAATGTCCTCCTGCAGTACCCAATGCCACTGCTAGGCCTGCATGTTCCCTAACCCATTTTCTTTTTCTTCCTGGAAATTTTTCTCTGTATGGATTCTGAGGACATTATAAATTTCCCTATGAATTCTGCACATGTGGAAGCCTGACCAGACTTTCTGTTAAACATGCTTGTAAGGTGGGTAACAATGTGGGGTAAAAAGAAATACAATATGCTGTGCCGCCTGAGTGAGTGTATTCGGTCAGCCTAATGCATCCTGGAAATACCAGATTTACTAAGATCTATTGTGGATACACAATATATATGACACTAATTGGAAGTTTCTGCTTTACTGCATATATGCTACACAGCATCTATGCTACATTGCACTATACTTCTGGCCAAAAAATCCTTGCAAGAACGTGACAGTGCTAGCGAGATTCAGGTTCTAGGTGCTGCATCAAATTTAGCATACCTGAATCTAAACTGTGTTGTTACAAAATAATGACAGAACATAGTTAACCTTTGAGTCTCTTATCCCAGTGCCAGCTCTGCAGGAGAAGGAGAGTATTTTATGTGGATGATTATTTTCTGCCATCTGTATTATGTAAACCAGTTTATGGGAGCTTTTCTGGGTTGTCGTTCTTCCATTACTTAGTTGTGACCCCAAGTAGGCTGAATTCAAACTTGCGAAGATTTAAGTTCATTTGGCAGGATTTATTTGTGCTCACATTGAGGGACTCCACATTTCCCCCATGTCATTTACTGAGCTTTGTGCTACATATCTTGTAATGGATTGGAAACAGTCTGGTGGTGTTAATTACACCTATGCACACAACTATGGACTTTCAGGTTAGAAGGAGCATCCTGGCAGATTAAATTCTTAGTGTCAAATACATAACATATTATCTACCTTTTATAGACTTACATGGCTGGTAGTTGCTGGACACCTGATTGATTTCTTAAGCAGTTGCAGAATCTGCTCTCTGTTCAGAAGTTCTCTAAAAAGAGAGTGTTATTAAAAAGTAGGCATTAAAGTCTGGGGGCAGTGTATATCCTTAGGGTCCAGACTGTCACTATTTAGTACAACCAATGCGTAACAGAGGAATGCTGGGCTGTTACTACTCCTCCCTAACTCTGGGTAAGAATCCTTATCCCCCTCCAGCTTAGGGAAATTCACTGGCACAGAAAGGTATCTCTGTGTGCCAGCTTCAGAGAACCTGGCCACAAATACTTAAGCTGAGAAGATTTTCCTCATTCCTTTAAAGGAGTGGGACAGAGCTTTCTGCTTCCTCTGCTCCCATAACATGAAGAAAAAAACACCAGAAAAATATTTAAATCAAAGGATAGTTAAGTAAACATTTACTTTATACTTTCATTATTAAGTGCAACTACTTAAAAGTGAATTGCTATCAAAGAGGGCACATGTGAAAGTCGTAAAATGAGATAAAAATTAATGAGAGTGAACATGCAAAGGAATGCAGCTTTTAGCATAGCAATTAACTACTCAATCTACCCTTCCTTTATTCCTTACAGGATAATTCACTGTAACTGAATTAATGGTGAAACATTCAGTAATAGGCCTTGCTAAGGAAATAGGAGCAGTGTATCAGGATATCCTTTTTCCGCCCCAGAGTACCAATACTTTCAATTTTATATACAACGGAAGTAATTAATTGTAACACAAAAGAAGCACAGCTGTGTTTCCTGATGGTCACGCATGCAGTAGCTACTATTGTTTAGCTTTTTGAGTATGTAAACTGAAAAGTGTTCAACTGCTTTGAACATACTATATTTTGGGGATTTAATTTCCATTAGTAGCCTTGAATTTATAGTGGAATTTTAATATGCTATTATCTTAGTTCCAATCCTGCATTGCTAATCAGGTAATTTTCGCTGATGCCAGCGGGAGTTTAAACTGAATTTGGTATAGCTGCCAAATCAGGAGATTTGCAGACACAGGCCAGTTCCTCACTGGAAGCAAAGTTATAGACTGTTTGTGAGGATTTGCATTTAGTAGTTTGTGTTTCTTTAACGTGTTCAAGTTCCAGTTCCAGGTATGCTACAGACTAAGGGAGAAAAGCTTTACTGCTATGCCCTTCATTTCATTATGTATTTTCAGACACACTAATTGACGGCTGTGACTGAAATACAAGCATATTATTAATTTTGCTCCATTTGTTCTTATTTAACAGCAATGCATTCATGATTAAATATATACTTATACTAGAAAAATTTAAGTATTTGATAAATTGAAATTATTTAGTTCATTTGTTTTGTAAAGAATTCAGATCTGTTAATTGAGAAATGTTAATACATGCTT